GCTCTCGCGCTCTCTCTGGCTCTCGCTCTCGCGCTCTCTCTGGCTCTGGCTCTCGCGCTCGCTCTGGCTCTCTCTCTCTGTCTCTCGTTCTTTCTCTGTCTGTCTCTGTCTATCGTTCGCGCATTCTCTCTCTCTGTCTCTGTCTGTCTCTCTCTCTGTCTCGTTTGTGCTCTCTCTTGCTCACTCCCACTCACTGTCTCTGTTCTGTCTGTCTGTCTCTGTCTCTCTCTCATTCACGCTCTCTCTCTCGCTCTCTCTTGCTCTCTCCCACTTGCTGTTCTCTTCTCTCTCTTTCCCTCTCTCTCTGTCTCTCCCTCTCTCTCTGTCTCTCAGTCTCTCTTTTTCTCTCTGACTCTCTCTATCTCTCTTTCAGTCTGTCTCTCGCTCTCTCTCTCTCTCTCTCTCTCTCTTTCTCTGTCTCTGTCTGTGTCACTCCCTGTCTCTCTCCCCGCCACCCCCCACCCCCCACCTCTGTTCCCCCCCGACCTCGAGCCGTGGGTTTTAACAGGACTGTTCCCACCTGCAGCTTTCTGTTGACCACTGGAGTAGACACAGTCTGCCTTCCGCCTGAAAAACGAAGGACCAAGTCTCTCAGCGCACTGCCCAAGGAGCGGGACTCCTCGTCTGAGAAAGATGGCCGTAGTCCGCACAAGGTAGGCTTGGGGCGAGGGGGAGGGCGAGTGGGAGGGAACAGGAGGGGAGAGGACGGCAAGCATGAGGAGGCCAGGATCCAGGGGCCATCGGGGGGCTGAGCTATTTCACAGGAGGTGGGAGTCGGTGGTCATGACATCACGTTTTCAAGCTGGTTCCCAGAACAACGTGAAAGCAGGCCATTCAGCCCATCTGCTCTGTGCCTCTGCTGACCCTACTGAACCTATCCTTCAGGTTCCTTCTCTCGCAGTGTGAATCCAGCTCTCCCCCACCCCACTATCCTGAGCACATTGACAGCGTTCATCCTCAACCACAGCTAGTGCTGTTGACTTCCACATTGTTCCCCCTTTCCCAGGGACTCGACAAGATGGACAGAGGCCCTTCAGCCCATCATGTCTGCACTGGTCCATGCTAGTCCCATTTTCCAGCACTTGGCCCTTGTAGCGTTTCAAGTAATTGTCTAAATTCTTCTCAGATATTCTGATGGTTTCTACCTCCACCAGCCTTTTGGGCAGTGAGCTTTCTCGGTGTGAGAGAATATCCACCAAGCCTTCTCCCCTTTACCGATGACCCACATTGTGGTTATTGCAGACAGCAAGAACTGCTGATGCTGGGATCAGAGTCAACAATAGCTTATTCCTCACTACCCTGCCTGTGCCCCTCATACCTCCATCAGATCCTCCTTCAGCCTTCCCTTCTCCGAGGAAAACCATGGCAGCCTGTCCAGGCCAGCAATGTGCCAGATGGGTGGGTTAGCCGAATTGCCCCAGTGGGTTAGCCGCAGGAAATGTGGCGTTACAGGGGCTAGGGTGGGATGCTCTTCAGAGGGGTCGGCCGATGGGCCGAATGGCCTGCGTCCAGACTCTGATTCTGGCCGCATCACCTCAGGCCAGGTATCTGTCTCCAGCACAGTCAGATCCTTCCTGTAGTACAGTGTCCTGAGCTGCAACCCTGTACTCCAGCTGTGACCTCACTAATTTTTTACACAGCTCCATCACACCCTCCCTGCACTTGTACTGAATGCCCCGGTTAATAAAGGCAGCAAGCTGTCCCATACGCTGTTGTACCCACCTGATTCACCTGTCCCATGGTCCTTTGAGGATCTGTGGACATGCATACCAAGGTACTGCTGTAGGCTCCTACCATTCAACACTTACTTCCTCACCTTGTTAGTCCCTCCTGCAATGTATCAGCTCTCACCTTTCAGGAATAAGCTCCATTTATCACCGAGTGGCCCGTCTCTGTCGTCCTGTTTCCCTCCTCGCTGTTTAAACTACACGCCAGCGATCGTGTCATTTCTGATCATGGCTCTTTCTACATTCATGTTTCCATCATCAATGTAGACGGTAAACAGCAGGGGGACTCAGTTCCGAACCCTCTAAAGCGCCACAAGGCACAGGGTCCCAGTCACTGAAACACCCTCCATGTTTCACTGTGTGCCTCCTGCCATAAGCCAGGTCTAAATCCCCTGCGTGCAGCACCGCCCCAACAACCCCACTGCATCCCACACACTAGGGTCATACACGCAGGGAAACAGACTGTGCAGTCCACACAGATCAGGTTCCCAAACTAAATTAGTGCCTCCGGCCTGCATCGGTGACCGGTGAAGCCCTCAGCTGGCAGAGTTACAAACCAAACCCGAACTCGGTAGCAGTGAGCTGTAAAACTATCCCACCTCTCCAGGTTAGCCCCACCAGCAGACACCATTCACATTGGGCAGCGCGAAGCTTAGGGAGTCACAAACACGCTGGCATTGATAGCCCTCCCCCCCCCCACCACAACCAAGCTATCGAAAGGCACACACCACCCACTGCTGGCTGAACAGGGTCGGGACCCTTAATAGAGCGTTCCCCTCTAAACTCAGCAAAATGAGACCTCCGAGATTTGCAGTCGGGTCGGAGAAATGATTCACTCGTATCAGGGAATCGCCACACTGTGGGAAGAGGCCACTCGGCCCATTGGGTCGGCACCCCACCCTGTCCCTGGGACCCTGCATTTTTCCGTGGCTAACCCACCCAGCCTGCACACTACTGGCCAATCCACCCTAACCCTCACATCTTTGGACTGTGGGAGGAAACCGGAGCACCCGGAGGAAACCCACGCAGACACGGGGAGAATGTGCAAACTCCACACAGACGGTCGCCTGAGGGTGGAATCGAACTCTGGTCTCTGGCGCTGTGAGGCAGCAGTGCAAACCACTGAGCCACTGTGCCGCCCATGACCATCTGTCTAGGGTGCACAGTTGGGGAAAACCTTGGCCATTGGTGTGCAATGCAGGGAAATGTGAGGTTGTGCACTTTGGAAGGAAGAGTGGAGAAACTGAATATTATCTAACTGGAGAAAGATTGCAGAAATGTTGTGGAGCAGAGGGATTTAGGAGTCCTCATGCATGAATTCCAAAAATCTAGCATCCAAGGTCAGTGGGTAAAGGGGAAGGCAAATGTGGGAGAGCCTGGGACCAGAGGGAATATTGGGAGAATGTGCAGTCACCCATTGAAGACGGAGATGTGGGATGTGTGAGGGTTGTGGAGGTGTGCAGTTATTTACCAGAGAGGGCTGTGGAGGCTGGAGCATTAAATATATTCAAGGTTGTAATCAACAACATCTTTAATCAGTGAAGGGAATTGAGGAAAAGGCTGTGTTTAACCTACTGCCTGAAATGCCTCGGTTCAGGGGCAATTAGGGATAGGCAACACGCTGGCATGAAAGAGTTAGAAAACAAAACACTGGCCATCTGTGGTTGCTATCCCTCACCCCCCCACCTGAAACCCCCCCAAAAAAAACCCCCAACTCCACCCGCTCAGCCTGAGCAGTAGCCCATTGGTTCCTGCTGCATTGTGTGTCTGTGCACCTGTGGGTGGCCTCTCCGCACGGTTGTCGATTCTGCTTGTAATTCGCTGTCAGCTCCCCCACAAATGATGATGGAGGTTGTGTGAGACATTATCTGTGCGTGTGCCTGTCTGTGTGTGTGCATGCGCACACGCACGTGTGCCTGTCTGTGTGTATGTCTGTGTGTCTGCATGCACACACGCGCATTTGTCTGTCTGTGCATGCGTGTTTCTGTATGTGTGTGTGTCTGTGTATGTGAGCGTGTGCCTGTCTCTTGTGTGTGTCTGTGTGCGCGCGCACGTGTGTGTGTGGGTCTGTGTGTGCATGCGTGTGCGCACGGGTCTGTGTGTGTGGGTCTGTGTGCGTGCGCACGTGTGTGTGTGTGGGTCTGTGTGCGCGGGTGTGTGTGTGTAGCTCTGTGTGTGCGCGCACGTGTGTGTGTGCGTCTGTGTGAGCACATGCATGTGTGGGTCTGTGTGT